CAATCTCTGCTCTTTTCAGGTTTGGTGACCATGGATATTAATCTTTCCCACGATTATATCATTGGTCATTTCCTCGGCCAGCTAGATTTAGACCTAATGTGTGTTCGTGTGAAAGATCCCGATGGATCGGGGAAAGATACCGGATACTGGGTCGGGCATTTTCAAATATCGGCGGAATTGAGGAAGAAGGAAGATGCAAGGAAAATTCCCGAAGAAGCTGAGAAGAACGCCAAGAAGGACCAAGCTGTTCAGACCGATGAAGCTGGATTAAATAGTTCTACTCCAGTTTCTGAGTTACAAGATACAAAGAAGACCAAAAAGAAAGAAAACAAGAACACAAGTGCCAAGAAAGAGCAAGATGATTGGCCCACTTTAGCTGGATCAAATCTTCCGTCTCCATTTACTGGGTTTCAAAATACAAAGAATATTAACAACGAAACAAAGACGAGGCCCAAGAAGGACCAGTTCCAGGCTGTTTTAGCTCGACTAATTTATAGTTCTACACCAGTCCCCGAGTCATTAATTACGCAAAAATACTGTTACGTCACTGTGGAATTAATATTCTTAAGCATTCCAGACAGGTTAGTTAGATTCTGGCTCTATACAAACTTGGTAACATTTGAAAATCCCAAATGTTTTTGTAACAACAATATAGTTTAATAAAAATATAGTTTAAAATATTTATTATTTTCCTATGCTCTTGGTTTACATCTTAAAAAGTTCAACAGAATTTTGCATCATCAGCAGATTACGTTGTACGGCATACTCTTCTTAGAATTTTACTCATGATGTTTTGATGGTTTTTAGGCGATGTCTTGAAGCTCTTGTTAATTCCGTCGCAGCACCCGAACTTGTTCAGAACATTTGTACTGGCCAGATTTCTACAAAATTTGATGTTGGTAAGTTAATAAAAGATGGGCTTGTTAAAGATGGAATTTTCCAACAAAAATCTATACCTGACACTTTAGACCTTACCAGATGCCCAAAATTAGTTACCCATACACCTTTTACTGGTGTCACTCCATTGTATATACATCAATTTCTGGTTAATATTTAGCAACTAGACTCTGTAGCTCAGTTCTTTAGAGCACTGCACCAGAATCGCAGGGCCACAGCTTCGATTCTATGAAAATATTTCACTGCAACGGAAATTTCACACAAATGTATAGCAAAACAAAATTTTGAAAACGCCGTAATTTGCTGAATGCCCAAACATGATGGAATTTTTGGTTTCAATTCTGAGGTTCATTCAACGATTTAAATTCTGAGGTCCATTTCTACCAAATATGAAGAAGAAAAATTGATAACACAAACTCGGATTAGAGAATATTTTTTTATTTATTCCTCCAGAACCGGAACGCGAACTGCCAAAGAATTTATCTTTATGCAATGTTCATCACACTCTGCAAGATTTCTATCCTTTGAACAGCTACCAGCGGGATGCAGTGCAGAAAGCATTGACCAAATCATTTACACTCATTCAGGGACCACCAGGTAAAGGTTCGACTACAGGACTACCAAGAAGAGATGACACTTGCTGGACTTCTAAGAGAACAACCTTATTTCTATTAACTATGGAACAACAGATTAAACTGATAGAGCTATCCAGTATCAATGAAGTTGGATTACTTTAGATTTCTTCTTGTGGGATATAGCCATTACTGGAACTCAGAGGGAACATTTAGAATTGATAGGTCTTGTATAAATAATGTTACTTTTGATTTTTGGAATTTCTTTCTACTATTTTACTCTTAATATATTTAGGCACAGGAAAAACAGTAACCGGAGTGCATATTGCATATTGGTTTGCTCAGCTGAACCAGAAGAGGATACCTACAGTGGAAAAGGAAGGAGAAGCGTGCAAGGGTTCTATGGTGTTTTATTGTGGACCTTCGAACAAGTCTGTTGATGTTGTTGCCCGTATGTATAACTTACTATAATATTAAAGTTAAAATTTCCTTTCACCATTTGGAATGATGAAAATACTCTGGAGGGTATACAGGTACAAACTAGAGGGCACACAGATAAACAGATTGCTTACATCTACCAGGGAACGTGGAAAGATATGTTTTTGGCGAAACCGGGAGAATATCCACAACTCAACATGCACGAGTTTTCAAGGACATCAAGTCTGTATATTGCAGGGATGAATCCAGCCAGATGTGACAGGGGAAGGGGGGGGGTTGTTTATCAAGCTTTGGACAAAGTTCAGGGTAGAACCGTTGACCAAGTCACTCTATTGTCCCCCTCCCCGTCAAGAAAAAATACGAAACCTTTTACCTATAGTAGCAGGTTTAACTTAGCGATTAATGACAGTGCCGCTAACCTGATTAGACAGCACTTTTATAAACATTTATTTTTCGGCTTTAGGTTATCTTATGAAAATCCCAGGTCTGAAAATCTTGCGGATATATGGGCAGGAAATTGAGAGGAAAGTGTTTCCCGTACCGGACAAAGTCACTCTATTTCGTTCAAAACGAGTCGCTGTACAATTGAAAGCTGACGAAGATCTTAAAGATGTCTCACTGCATCATGTTATACGCAGTGCAGAATGTCCGTTGGCGGAAACCCTCAAGATGTATGATGAAAAATTCAAAGAATACACAGGATACAACTCTAACGCTCCTCGTTTGATGATTGATGAGTTCAATAAGGTAGCATCCTCACGTTCCTAATAATAGCTGGCTAATTTTGAATCACAATGTGGATTGTATATCCAGCGTTGATTTTATGCCTATAATCAGGAATGGATTTAACTTAGCAGGAGTGGGATGCCGGCTAATCATGTTGTGTTGTGAGGTGTGACCGTCAATCGAGGCACACGAACGGTAGAGTTCTCGGAAAACAGGATCTGACACAGTCCAAGGAGCTGGTCATAATAGTGGGCCTGGGTGGCAGGATATTCTTAGATTCAATGTCTCCCCGAATAATTATTGACCTTCCATAAATTTCTCTCTCGCAGGTTAAAAGTGAAGCTGAAAGATGGGCCATCACCCAGAGAGGAGTTAACGTGATTTTAGCTACATGTACTACAGCGTATAGTCCTCGAATCACGATTGCACGCAAAGATTTTGTCTGTCAGTGTATCATAGATGAGTGTGGCATGTGTATCGAAGCTGAAACGCTCTGTGCTATGATGGGTTCACGTCCGGAGCAAGTTGTTCTCATTGGCGACCACAAGCAATTACAGCCTGTCATTAAGTGCGATAAGGCGAAGGACCTGGGTCTAGGAATTTCTATGTTTGAACGCTATTCAGAACGGGCACAGATGCTTGAAATTCAGTACAGAATGGTGAGTATTATTTCCTAGGGTAGAGGTGCATGAGATTCACCACAGAATAGTGAGTACTAATCCTGGCAAGTGGGGATCCGGGTATGTACAAAACAGTTTAGAAACAAATTTACAAAATCCGTGGTGAATTAGGGTCGGACAACACAGTCGAACCGCAATCGAATCTGAGCTAAATCGCGAACGCATGGCAACTTCTGTGCGGCTCTTCAAGTAACTAAGAAATGCCCCTATTTCTAATTTTATTTTAAGGTTTCACATACGAAATTTTCACACATGAAATCGATCTGTTGAATTGCAACGCTGATCATTGTGGTCCACTTAGAGCAAACGTCTTGCCAATATATTGTATAAGTATGCGATAAACATTATTTAAATTGTTATATTTCGCAAAAAACTGCGTAATTCCTTTTATTATAAGTTACACAACTGAAATTATAACGCACGGAAAATGCCAAGTTTATGAGAATTATATCGGGGCACTGACCTTGGTATCGAATAATTAATTTTCAACAAATATCTGGGGTTTTTAACAGCACGAAGAACTATGTCAATTTCCATCCGAGTTCTTTTACGATGGAAAACTCAAGACAGCGAGACAAGTACGAGATCGTAGACCAGATAATGTGAAATGGCCCAATGGGGATAGATATCCCTTTGTGTTTCACCACGTGGAAGGAATTGAGGAATCACTGATCGTTACCACCGATCAAGGAAACGAAAATTCGAAGAAGAATCAAAAAGAAATTGAAAAAGTTGTAAGTAATGTTGTATGCATGCATCTCAAACTCATTAATAATTCATGAGCAAATTAGCGAATGAACTCACCCTAATTCGTCACATGATTGAGGTTGGATACCGCAGGAAACACGCTAAAAATCATATACCATCACTGTTGTTAGATGAAAAACGGTTTTCATCTAATAACTGAGATCCTAATTAGAAATTCAAGTCAAAACACAACAATATAGTATAATAATTACTGACGGTCCAGCCTAGACCTAGGCCTTCTAGTCTTATTTATATTTTTTAATATTCAGCGCTTTTTCACAGGAAAAGACTGGGACTAGGTGATTTGGGGGCGTGGCGGAGGAAGCAAGCCTAGAAGGCCTAGTGGATTTCCCAACAACAAGGCCAAAACTGCCCTGAAACTGCCCTGGTTGCAAAATGCCCAATTATTGCGTTCTCGGACAGAATTATTTGCAACTTAACGGCGAATTTAAATATATATATATATATATATATATATATATATATATATATATATATATATATATATATATATATATATATATATATATATATATATATATAGATTGAGTTGTAACTCATTACATAACACTTGCAGAACTAGTATTGTTCGATGCTGAATTAATATAAACGAGTATGTTTATGACATTCAGTATATATTTCATAATTTCCAGTCTTAAATCCGTCTGACCGTGTAGCTCAGTTGGTAGAGCGTCGATCTAGTAATTCAAAGGTCACGGGTTCAAGACCCAGCCGCGGCAGACAACATCTTTCTGCTTGCGCTGAGTATGGAAATCGTATAATACACACTCTAGAACATTTTCATCTTATATATCATTTTCATATTATTTTCATTTTCATATATATATATATATATATATATATATATATATATATATATATATATATATATATATATATATATATATATATATATATATATATAATTTCGCTTACCTCAAAATTCCGCAACAGTCTGTTTCATCAGTAAAGAATCATCAGATGATGAAACAGACTGTTGCGGAATTTTGAGGTAAGCGAAATTCTACATTTGCTCTATCTTTATGATATTGAGCACTCTTTGCGTTTCGTATACACAAACCTACTCGTACATATATATATATATATATATATATATATATATATATATATATATATATATATATATATATATATATATATATATATATATATATATATATATATATATATATATATATATATATATCTCTGCATGCTTATTCTTTATTCTTTTCATTGCACTTGTAACTATTTGTAAATATTTTACACGCCCATTGTGAAAACCAGCTTTACCTGACAATGTTAGCGTGGTTAAATAAAGTCATCATCATCATCTTACTAATACTGCCGAGTTAAATACATCTATACTTATTTAAAGAAATAAACTTCAGACATAAACTGTTTTCCCTAGAGGTCCAGCAAGGGTCATATCTTATATTGATTCACTATTACTACAGTAAAAAACCTAAACAAAACTAATTGTATTTATATTGCCTGGATGTATTTATAGATGGATTTATATTGCTAAATTGCTTCAAGGCACAGAGGTATATAATCTCTTCTTCATATTATCATATTACGAAAATGAAATATATAAGTATAGGTTATTTTGAGGCAACGAGGGGATATGTGATTTATTCACCGGGGCGCGCAGCGCCGAGGCGAATAAACACATTTATGCCCTCGGTGCCTCAAAATAACGTACTTATTTTTCACATTGCGAGGTCGCGTTAATGAGTCAGAATAGAAATAATTCTTAATGCCATATTGCCTTCGTTATGTTGTTTTTCTCATTTTTTGTGCTGCCAAGACATTGCAGGTGAATATTAGAGGGGATTATTAAACGGAAAATGATTTGAGGGGAATATTGAATATATTCCCCGATAAGAACAAAGGAAACCGAGCAGGGTGAAAAACAAAGTACTTGTATAAGTCATTTATGCACTTGAGTCCCTGAAATTCAGGTGTCATATTTAAAACACAACGTTTTAGTTTTATGTTTAATTTTTCAGAAGAACTCGCTCGAGGATGGAATCTTATTATTTTATCAACCTGATATTCATATTTGCTGTGAACGTATTCTTCTTTTTCTCAGGAATATGTTTAAATTCCTTGGTCATACTCAGTTTCTGGAGGTCTGTACAACTTCGAAAGAAATTATGTTACTTCATGATAATGGTTTTGTCCTGTTGCGATTTGTTCGCGGTTTTAACAAATAATCCATTGACGGCGCTTGTCGTGACGTTGTCATGGTTGACGGGAAAGTTGGATGTAAATGCTAGATGGTTTCATATTTCCATAAGTTCGACAAATATTTTCCTTGGTTTTTCATTATTCGCTCTTTTGGTGATGAGTTTCGATCGATATTTGGCGACATCTTATCCTATCTTTCATCGAACATCGGTAACGAAGCGAAGACTGTTAACTCTTCTTGCAATACTGAACATCGTCCAAATAATTCTGGAAGTGATGTCTGTAAACGACTTTATTCCCGACCAAGTGCATGCTGTAATGCTTTGTATTCTTCTCGTCCCTGCAATGTTATTTATCAACTACAAACTGTTTCTAGTCGTCAGGAAAAGTCGTAAAAACAAAAGAATATCACCCGGGATGAAAAAGTCGTTTTCTTTGAAAAACATATCGAGTTGTTTGCTGGTAGCCGCTTGTGTTGTGGTGATGTCCACTCCTATGGGCGTCTACATTGGATTAAGAATAAACTCGCCAGACACAAAAGATACTTTGGATAATGCAAACCTTGCATGGAATTGGGCTAGAACTACAGCTTCGATGAATTGTACATTTAACTGTTTAATCTTTTACTGGAAAAACAAGGTGTTACGTATCGAAGGATTGAAAGTTCTCAAAAGCCTGAAAATATGTCGACGGGTTGAATCCTAGCTGCACTAATAACCAATCTTCAAAAAAAAAACTTAAGGTTCGAAGGAAACTCACTAACAATATCTTGGAGATAGTAAACGTGAACACAACGAACTATACACTTATATTGTTCTATATATTAATACGCATATCATCATCAGTATAAGAAAGACAGTAGCTGTAACTAGGGTATATAAGGCACTGTTATGCTTGTAATTTCATCCATTCCTGAAGATGACAAAAATATGTAGTCGAATAAGAATAAAACGTAGAAAAATAAAAATGCTTTAATTTCTTTCAATTATTTCATTATATATACACACTAGGTGTATAAAAAATTTGCCATGCTATTGTGTATGTATAAATTTAATTTTCCCATCCAAATAAAGATTAGGCGCGTTTAGATTTTTTGTATCATTGCCTTAAAAAACCGAAAAATTTCTCCTTGGTGGTTTATCAAACTAAAATGTCTTCATTTTAACATTATTTTACAGATAGAGCACTAAATATACTTGATAAGTTTGTTTACCGATTGAGAAAGGCAATATTGAAGAATTTTGATGAAATCAACTGGTATATTTTTAAATACTTGTTACTTTAGAACGAATGTTACAAAGTTAACATACAAAAATATCTGCTCTTAATTAGGGACGGACCATTACAAAAGTGATGGGGGGGGGGAAGGTGGGACATTTCCAACCTGTACGATTATTTTTTCAAAATTTTTTGCTTGTGTCGATTTTTTTTTTAAATCATCCCTTGCTCGAATTTTTTTTTTCAAAAAAGTGTTGGCGAGCAGGGGGGGGAGGGTGCTAACATTTTTTCTGGACACTAAAAAATGGGTCAAAAAAATTTTTCCAGACTAACATCAATTAAGTTAAAAAAAAAATTTTGCCTCACAAATTCTTGCTAAGTATGCTTAAAGCCTTTTTTGCACCAATATCTTCAATATTTAGGTTTAGAAACTTTTTCTGTCACACCATTACTTACACTATCAAAAAACGTTTTCCTTAGACAACTTATAATTTTCCCTTTGAAAAGTCTCTGAACGAATTTTTTTAAAACTTTTTTCGTGCTCGAATTTTTTTTTTTTTGTTTCCCCTGCCCGATTTTTATTTTTGATACACTACTTACACTATGAAATAACAGTTACCAAATGCATTTCATCTCATTATCTACCGTTTTTAATACGTTCGGCACACGAGTAGCGCGACGTTTGAACTAACACATCAGAGACGCCGTGCCCCGTGGAACTGATACAAATTCATTTATTTATCCGGGGCCGTGGTTGTATAAAAAAGTGATTAAAGTTAACTATGGTTAAGTGAAAACGTCATCCAATAAGAAGCGCGTATTTGAGAGTTAATCACTATATTTAACTACAAAATAGTGATTAAAAAAGTGATTAAGAGTTTTATACAATCGGCCCCAGGTGCGACAACTCGAAATTTAAATTGTTTGACCAACAAACCAAATTTTGCATATTCTAAAACTTCATTTGCATTTGCAGCTGTCCCTTAAAAGGATGCATTTTATCCCCATCCGTTCCGTATTTTATCCCCATATCCGTTCCGTGGATCCACTCCCAAGAAATGATCCGTTGAAGAAATGAAGGTGGAACATATACATGCTTGTTCAGACATTGTTTAGACATTCTATAACGACTTCCTTTCCTGCAGTTGAGTATAAGTTTTGTTAATATTGGCTGTACTGTGCCAATTTTACGCCATCAACGACAATTGTATTTAAGTTGACAATATGTAACTGGTATATTTTGTGTTTCTCAACCGCCAGATACATTTGAAAAGGGTTGCTAACTGTGTAAACTACAGATGCGTAAACTAGGAATTTACGTTCGAATGTCCACCTGTATACCTGCTCTGGGAAGCTGCATTCAAATGAACTGTGACAAAACCCAACTGTAAACTAGCTGCCTATACTAAATTTATTACTTATCTTCTTAACTTCCTGGGCTATTTTCCTTTGATCCTCTTTGCTAATTCTCTTCTGGCTTATCTTGCTCTCTCTACCTACAATAACAATAATAATAATTATTGTTTGATGTAAATTACACAGGCTAGGGTTCTCTCTTTCCAACGAGCTTTCTATATATTCTGGAGTAAGAGTTTCCAGCCGCTCGGCCTATGAGAAAAGTCAAACGAGCTAAGCTGAATTACGAAGGACACAGCTCAACCAAAAACAAGGACCAATCATAAATTTTGCAACTAGAAGCAAATTTAATGAAAAAATAAACGAATACAAAACTAGGAAATTCTAATTCCAAACTAATTCAAGATTCCTAAGTGTTACATACCACACTGGTTAAACAGTTCATATTTTTGACAAGTTCGAACACACTTAATGGATCATAAACTTGATACAATATTACAGAAACACACATATAGGATTGAATTAAAGTATTAAACTAAAGTTATTACATGAAAAAATGTCTAAATTATTTGATTCCACACAGTAGAGTGAAGCAAAATTGCTATATAAAGTTAATATAATGGCCACATTTTGCCAATTATGTTATTAAAGACTACTTAATTATACTAATTACTACTAATTACTGTCAAGTTACTTAGCTTTTGAGGTTATTCAGTTCATTGAAGGGAGAAACATCTTTCGACGCATAAAGCGCACAAACCAACAGCCTGAACTTTCAGGAAGATCCTTATTGGCCATATCTTTGAGCCGCTCACTCACAGCATTGAATCTCTCGTTGAAAGCTTGGAGTTTCGGGTCGAGATCTTGTTTTGCTGCGTCAGTGATTTCTTCTTTCAGTTCATCGCCCATTGTGTTAACACGTTTCACTTTCGAGTCGTTCACCTGGAGCTTTTCAAACTTCGCCTGAAAGTAGAAAATGAAATAAACTAACTTTATTTATACTGGATAGCTCTATCAGTTCTAAACTGTTCTTCCTAGAGGTCCAGTAAGGATCATCTCTTATTGATCCAGTGTTACTACAGGAGGAAACCTAAACTAAACTAACTTTATTTATACTGGATAGCTCTATCAGTTCTAAACTGTTCTCCCTAGAGGTCCAGTAACGATCATCTCTTATTGATCCAGTGCTACTACAGGAGGAAACCTAAACTAAACTAACTTTATTTATACTGGATAGCTCTATTAGTTCTAAACTGTTCTTCCTAGAGGTCCAGTAAGAGTCATCTCTTATTGATCCAGTGTTACTACAGGAGGAAACCTAAACTAAACTAACTTTATTTATACTGGATAGTTCTATCAGTTATAAACTGTTTTTCCCAGAGGTCCAGAAAGGATCATCTCTTATTGATCCAGTGTTACTACAGAAGAAAACCTAAACTAAACTAACTTTATTTATACTGGATAGTTCTATCAGTTCTAAACTGTTTTCCCTAGAGGTCCAGTAAGAATCATCTGTTAATGATCCAGTGTTACTACAGAACTGGAAGAGTCTCAGACGCAACTGAGGTAAAATTATGATTAGGCAATTGTATATCACAGGAAAGGTCAAATTATTTCAAAATCATTTACTCACAGAAAGTTTTTCGATCTGCTGGATCATGTGTTCTCTCAGCGTGGCTTTCTCCTCTTTCAGTCTCGCGCGTTTTTCTTTTTTACTCTCCGTTTTCACTTCCTGTTCCCCAGTCTCCTGAGGCGACCCGGCCTTGTAACCAACATTCAGATCTTGCAACTTTTGTTCCATGACGTCATATTCGTCCAAGAGTACTTCAGTTTCGTTACACCAAGTATTGACTATTTTCATCTCTTCAGACATTGATTGCAGTCTCCGTTGTGCGGATTCGAGCTGTGAGAAAAAGTTTGATTTGGTTAAATGATTTAACAATAAAAGGGATCTGGTAGAAAGTGTTTCAGCAGCATTTTCTTTTTGCCTGTTGTGCATTTTTCCGTCTCTGTTAGGCCCTGTTCACATGATCCCGGGATAAACAACTGCCCCGCGACAAGTCATTGACCCGGGGTACTGATATCGTCTGTTCACATGAACAAAGCTAGCGCGGGTCATGCCTATAAATACATTACGCGGGAATCAAAATATTCCCGCCAACGTGAAACGGTGAAATATTGCTAAATAAAAAACATTCTGATAAACGCAAGTCGTATTTTATGTTATGATATTTACAAATAGAACGTAGTTGATTATCAGCCGTAATAAAATGTCCTCAATTCATTGTTTCTGATTGACCAGATCAAATTCTTTGAGTAACATACTACACTTCTTGGTTTCAAACATGATATTAGCGACAATTTTATTTTAATATTATTAGAATCATCACTTATAGATTTCTAATGATATCTTCAATCAAATAACAAGTTTTGTGGAGTCCAACGTGCTCTAAATGTAATTATAGCCGCGATTTTACCAAAAATTCAATTATCCCGGGACAAAGTTGCCCCGGGGCCAAGTGTTCACATGAGGAAAAGTTGTCTCGGCTAGGCGAGTGTCCCTGTCTACAGAGGCGAGGCACTCGGGTCAATTCTTGTCCCGGGACAAGTAAAATATCATGTGAACAGAACTATTCTTTTACTAAGGAGCCGAGACAATTTTTGTCCCGCGACAATTGCTTGCCCCGAGACATAACGCTGTCCCGGGTTCATGTGAACAGGGCCTTAGAAGTTAGGAAACTTACAGCCCAGGAACCAAAGGCATTATACACATTCTTCTAATGTTAATTTACCTGTACAGTTTTCTGGACGATTTGTTTAATGAGTTCGTTAAAAACTTGATCAAGATCAACAAGTTGTTTCTGAATGAAGTCGCCAGCCTTCGTGTTGTCTCCGACAATTCTCTTCAGTTCATGGCCCATGCTCTCAACGTCTGTTGAACGCCTCACGTATTCTTCTCGTTCTGCCGTCAGAGACTAAAAACAAGACAAGTTTACATTCAGAATAACCCTCAAGGGCTAGTTTATACTCTCCTAAACTCTCATCAACCAAGACCTGTTGCCATGACTAAGGCCTGTTTTATACGTTGAATTTCGGTCGCGTCGAATGCAATTTAAACAATAGATAATGAAGCTTAATGAGGTTTATCATCTCATTATCTATTGTCTTAATTGCATTCGACGAGACCAAAATTCGACGTATAAAATTCGACGTATAAAACAGGCCTAAGCTCGCCACTGCATTTAACTGTACCTTCAATACATCCAATTGTTCGGTCACATTTTCCTCATCAGCCAAGTTCACGTCATCTGCAACTTTCAATTGTTCTCCTTTCTCATCAATCCAGTTCAATATCGCGATCTCCTCCAGACGGAATTTCGACCACAGTGAAACAATTTTGGACAATCTCAGTCCTCTCTCTTCCGACCATCTTAGAAGCTTCTTCCAACGTTTCTCCAAAGCTGCAAGCTCTTCCTTGACTACGGCCTCCAGTTCATCAATCTTCTCGACTTCTTTGACCAACATGTTGAGATCGTAGACCTTCAAGTCCTCTTCAAAATGCTGCAATCATATTTAGATTTTAGACCTTAGTATATTATATACACGAACTTGTTGTTAGAGCTCGACAACTGGCCTCTGTAGCTCAGTTGGTTAGAGCGTTGCACTGGAATTGCAAAGCCGCACACGTTCGATGAAAAACCACGACTTGCGCTAGAGTGTTGACTGACTCTTTTCGCACAAGTGTCATAAGTCCGTAGCGAGAATCGGTGAAACAAAAAGTTCAAAAACCAAGTATTGGAAAATTAAAATTTTCCCTGTGATATACCTGACGGTAACCTTAGGCGCGAGCTTCTCTCTGTACGGTAAGTAGAACGTGAAAACACAATAAATGTTCATGCATATACATGTGTACTACTGCCATCAGAGTTTCGGTCTGATTTTAGCACATTTGCACTTTTCTAAAATCTCCTAAAACTAAGTGATATATACATACATCGTGATCTTCTTTGAGCTGCTTATATCCAAGGTAATCCTCAGCTTCAGCCAAAGTCTTCTCAACTCTTAACTCCAGGAATGTGATCCATTGACTACATCGCTGTAACTCTGTCTTAAACGTTGTCACATACTCAACTCGCATTCTGAAAACGATATAACAATTGGTCAAACACAGGAAACCTTTGGGTATCTCTATTAGTTCTAAACTGTTCTTCCTAGATGTCCAGTAAGGATCATCTCTTATTGATCCTGTGTTACTACAGGAGGAAATCTAAACTAAACTAACATTATTTATACTGGACTATACAGCTCCATCAGTTCTAAACTGTTCTAAACAGAAAAACAACATTAAATAAACTTAGACGAACCTGGCTTCTTTTCCTTGAGCCGCTTCTTGCAGGTCAGCGGACTTCTTCGTCAAATCACTGAGCCGTAATTCTACACTGTCAGCATCCTCAGGTCCAAGTAATTTAGCTTTCTTAACATCCTCCCCTTGCTCTAACTGTTTGTTGCTGGCTAACTGAATCACTTGAATATCGCGGGCCATAGCCTACACACAAAAACAAATGCTTTAGTTTATCAGCCATATTTGAGCAAAACAAGAAGGATCTTATTAATAAAGCTGGAGTTACATGAGCAACAAAATTGTTGCAACTTGCAACAAAATCCGATTTCAACGCATGTTAAGTAGAAATGTCGACACATGGTGATTTGTAATTTATGTGTAGACATTTTCACTTAACATGCGTTGAAATCATATTTTGTTTTAAGTTGCAGCAATTTTATTGCTCGCGTAACTCAACCTTAAGGCCATGTGACAGGAGGCAATTTTGGCGCAACTTGTAACACAATTTTATGTACAGAGCGATGCTATGGGTTACGCACGTTGGGTCAATATGCAAAATTCACTGATATACCTTGGTTTCATCCATCTGTTTCTTGGCGGTTTTAAAGTAAGTCGAAATAACTTCGTCCGGTTTTATTCTTCCTCGGGCATCACTCAATGTCGTCTCAATGGAATCCAAGAGTAGCGTTAATGTTGTTAACAGAGTTGTATAGAGTCTAGAGAAGAAGAGACAATCAAATAATTAATACACTGGATCAATAAGAGATTATCCTTATTGGACCTCTAGGAAGAACAGTTTAGAACTGATAGAGCTGAACGAGAGAAGCCATATGTTCAAAACGTACTTGGTTTCCTGTTCATGTAAGATTTTGTCAACTTGTTCAACTCGACCAGATATCGAGTTCGCATCTCTCTCGACCTCTGCAGATTTCTTACTGTCCATGACGTCATCGGCAAGGACCAGCTTGTGAACTTCAATAAATGTAACAAAGTTCTGGCGACCTTCATCAAACTCAGTGCGTACTTCCTAAATAGACAAAACCAAATGTAATAAAATTAACAAAAATTACGAAAGAAATGTTGCCATTCCGAAAGTATTCAATCTGCTGCCATAAAATTATGCATGAGCACACAGACAGGGATCTCGGCTATTTATCACGAAATTTTGTGCAAGGTAAGTCTAAACGCATATTATAAATAACCCTGGATATGCTTGCAATATATTGAAGCAGATTCTATTGTTACCTTGACTTTGATATATTCATTCTTGCTGTCTTTTAATTCCTTCACATCAGGTTTAACTTGTCGTTCCTTTCGCTCACAACTGCTCAACCACTTCAGCGTCACTTTCTTACGTTGATCAAAGAAATTCACCATCGTGCGATACAGTCTGAGAAAAAAGGTTTGGATATTGAATGCAATATGTACTACTACTACTAGTTTCCTAACCTTCTTCTATTGACCATCGTTAAATTACTTCGTTTTGAATAATTTCTTGAAACACAATAGTTGAAAACAAGCTATTCGGGTCTGTGTTTTACGAAACATACCAACCTCTTGGCTGGAGTTTGTACATCTGATACAACACGGCTGCTTATAATGTATGTATTATTTATAGGCTGCTCTACATATTTGATGTCTCAATCCCCACCTGTTGTGACTTTCTTTCATCTGTTTGTCCACTTCAGTTCTTCTTTTGTCGATCGCTTTACAACTTTTCTCCAGTTCCGATTGAGTTTCATACGTGATGAAGCCCGGGTGTCTTGTTTCCATCGTGAACGTTTGAATTTCCACAAATTCTTCTTCGTGTTGAGGAATTTCATCTTCACATACCTGATAGGAACACATATTTCAATCATTTATGCTGTTACACGAGGAAACCTAAACTAAACTAACTTTATTTATACTGGATAGCTCTATCAGTTCTAAAATGTTCTCCCTAGAGGTCCAAGTAAGGATCATCTCTTATTGATCCAGTGTTACTACAAAAGGAAACCTAAACTAAACTAACTTTATTTATACTGGATAGCTCTATCAGTTCTAAACTGTTCTTCCTAAAGGTCCATTAAGGACCATCTCTTATTGATCCATGCAGTGTTACTACAGGGGAAACTTAACCACTATGACACAAATTTAGTTAAGCAAACACATATCTAATTGAAACTCGAGACGAACCTTCAAGAGCACAATTTGTTCATGAACGGCTTCAGGAGTTGAACCAGATGGTGTGAGTTGATTCGTGTTAATCTCGTCTCGTTCTACAGATGATTCACAATGATCCAATCTTTCTTTACAGTAATCCACGATGGTCTCCATCGTTCTAAATAAAATGATCAGCACAATCATACAATGTACAGACGTCGAACATATATCAAAATCTTTCTCTCAATGACCTGAATCTAATGATAAGGAGCGCTCTAACCAACTGAGCTACAGAGTCCAGTTGTCGAGCTCTAACCACAAGTTCATGTATAAATACTAAGGTGATGATGTCATGGGTAAATTACAAACCTTATTCGCTGTAGCTCAACAGTTCGCTCCATTTCAATCATCCGTTTGGTGAACTTCGTAATAGTGATGGTAATCTCCTGCTGGTCTTCAGGGGTCTGGGAATTAGTATCGATCAATCTCCGTCCCAGGACTATGATCTTGTTGAAGCGCGGTTTACCTTCATTGTGGAACTCCGTTAGTATTATCTGCATAAAGAAATGTGAATCATCAATACAGAAATCTATCCGTAACCACAAATAAAGTTATGCGGTATTTCCAAAAAACAAAACAATTATGAAAAATCTTTGTAGGAGAAAATCTAAGCATTTACATATTACAAATAACCAGGGTACTTTTTACTTCTGAAAATCTGTTAGATACGAGGTTGTAGGCAAGCAAGGGACCATTATAAACTCAACTGAATCAATCCAGTATTTCAAGAAATTTTCCAAACCTTGGTGTCTTGTTCTCCCTTCTTTAAACTGTTACTGTCACGTGATATGGTCACGTCAATACATTTCTCATCCATCGACGTGAACCAATCATCCATATGGGATATTTCCGTCTTCCATTCCTCAAACGTCACTGTCTCTGGGAGATCTTCGCTTTGTTGTTCTGCCAACTGAAATTCTATGAATTCGATGTCCTGTAAAAGAAGAATATTGAAAATGGTATAAATTTTAAGGTCAGTCCATGTGATCATATTAACGGAGCTGCCTAGCTCGAGTGTTACTACAAGAGGAACCTAAACTAAACTAACTTTATTTATACTGGATAGCTCTATCAGTTCTAAACTGTTCTCCCTAGAGGTCCAGTAAGAATCATCTCTTATTGATCCAGTGTTACTACAGGAGGAAACCTAAACTAAACTAACTTTATTTATACTGGATAGCTCTATCAGTTCTAAACTGTTCTTCCTAGAGGTCCAGTAAGAATCATCTCTTATTGATCCAGTGTTACTACAGGAGGAAACCTAAACTAAACTAACTTTATTTATACTGGATAGCTCTATCAGTTCTAAACTGTTCTCCCTAGAGGTCCAGTAAGAATCATCTCTTATTGATCCAGTGTTACTACAGGAGGAAACCTAAACTAAACTAACCTTATTTATACTGAATAGTTCTATCAGTTCTAAACTTAAAACTTAATGCTTACCTCTGCATTATTTTGAGAGAAATCTTCAATCTTGTTCGTAAAGACATCCCAATCAGATTGGAATTTTTCAATCCGAATCTTAAGAACATCTCTGGATTCGTCATCGAGATCCTCCGAGGCTTGCTGTCCCAGTTCTCCTGCCCAGTCCACAAATGCTTGACATGTGGCGCGGCTTTGACGCTTGATCTGCAACAACATGACATAGAATTTATTAATAAATGGGAGAAATGAACCACGGAAGAAATAGTGGGAACTTTTTCAAGTGGAATAATCCACCAGACAGGGATGTTCATTTTTGCCGAGGGATTGTTCATTACATTCAGGTGATCTTCCCGACAATCATAAGAACAGGCCCCTACGTCTTCAGTAGTAGTACATGTCCACGTTTACAACACACTCACCACAAATGCTTGCATCATATTCTTGTTTTCCTGCCGCAATTCTTCTTTCCCATCTTCATCCAGTTCCTTTACTTCAGGTTCAACTTCGGAAACGTCAGCCTTTTCCTCGGAAACCTTCGATTCACCTTCGGAAACCTTCGGCTCTCCTTCGGAATCTTTCGCCACTTGCTCGGACACTTTCGGTTCATCGTCTGAAACTTTATCCCCTTCTTCGGACACATTCGGTTCAGCCTCGGAATCTTTCGGCTTATCTTCGGCAGGCAGACCTTGTAATCGTCGCTCATTGGCTGCGTACTGGTCAAGTATTTCAGTGACGTCATCCATCCAGTCTTGAGTGTTATCCATGTATCTGTGCATTGTGCTGAGTTGTCTCTCCGAAGACTCGAGCTATAAAACGATCAATTTAGAGCATGTTCAGTCAAACATGATTACAAATAGTATTTGCTGATGGATTCAACAAAAGTTATATCTGATGGGATAGCTGTTAATAGTACTAATTTTTTGAACTAAACAGATAAGCTCAGAAAATGCGTATGAATTGCTTATCACTGCAAAATAAGTAGACAAGTTCGAAGCAACTAATTTAGCTACGTCTCGATCTGCATTCTCTTGAGATCTCCGCACAAACCTTTCTTATCTTTTCTTGAATATCGCAGGCCAGGGTCTTCCAACAATCCACGAAGTCATTGACTTGTTCGTCCACGCGAGCGCTGGCTTTAGATTCATCTCCCAGGATTTTCTTCAGACCTTCACCCATATTTTTTAAGTTTACAACTTCTGGATACTCGTCTTCCATTTGTGCTTGCATTACCTGTGAAAAAAGATTGAATATCATTGGATTATGGACACGTTATCAATGCAATTCCATGAGGGTACATTAAGGTCCAGTAAGGGTCACCTCTTGTTGATCCAGTGTTACTACAGGAAGAAAGCTAAACTAACTTTATTTATACTGGATAGCTCTATCAGTTCTAAACTGTTCTTCCTAGAGGTCCAGTAGGGATCATCTCTTATTGATCCAGTGTTACTACAGGAGGAAACCTAAACTAAACTAACTTCATTTATATTGGATAGCTCTATCAGTTCTAAACTGTTCTTCCTAGAGGTCCAGCAAGGATCATCTCTTATTGGTCCAGTGTTACTACAGGAGGAAACCTAAACTAAACTAACTTTATTTATACTGGATAGTTCTATCAGTTCTAAACAGTTCTTCCTAGAGGTCCAGTAAGGATCATCTCTTATTGATCCAGTGTTGCAGGTGGAAACTTAAACCAATTGTATTTATATTGAATTGCTTTATCAGTTCTGTTCCTCATGCTGTTATGTTGCAACAGGAGGAAACCAAATATGTACTGTAAACCAGATGAATTTAGAACAGGAAAATATCTTACCTTGAGTTCTTTCAGTTCACCTTTGACTTCATCCTCGTCAGCGAGATTCACTTGCTCTTTCAATTCTTTTAATTTCAAATCTTTCACATCAATCCAGTCCAATAATTCCCTCAACTTCTCTCTGATGGCCTCCCACTGGTTGAGTATTGAGAGCAGTACAAGCTGTCGTTCGTCGGCAGACCTCTGTATAGCAAGAAGGCGGCTTTGAAGATCTTTGGACGTGGCTTTCAGTTTGAAATCAGGATTGCTCATTCGCTCAAGCTCTACAATGACTAGTTCCAGGTCGTGTTTCTTCATCTCAACAACGAATTCCTGGATAAACGAATTTTAAACGCATTTAAAATAATTGTGGCAAAATGGGGTAGATGTGGTTAACAAGCTACACACGTTAAAACGAGCGAGTTGTCCCAGATCTGGAAACCAGTTGTAACAAGGTTGTTGTCAAGTCGATATCAGGATGTGTTCGCACTGCTTGTTCCCAGTTGTTGTGACAAGTCTGGAACAAGTTGTTATCACCTTGTTACAAGGTTGATGACGGTAACAGGCTTGCTACAAGTTGTTCCAACAAGACTAACACAGGCTGTTCGTAACAAGTCGCTACGAGCTTGTTGTCATCAACTTGTTAACAACTTGTTACGTGCAGACGATATCAGACTTGTTGGAACAACTTGTTGCCAGTCTGTTGGCCTCGTCAACCTTGTTACAAGATGATAACAACTTGTTCCAGACTTGTCAACAAACTGGGAACAAGCACTACGAACACATCTTGTTGACAAGCTGACATGATTTCAATGGTTCATTGAGGAAACCAGACTTTATTTTAAAACAGTCATAACATTAGTTCTACTACACTAATTTTAATAATCGTAGTATCAGAATTTATCCCTTATTTCAAATTTTCGATCATCCCTAATAGTTACTGAAACACAGTTATTGCATTGTTTTGGGACAAGAGCAACAAAGTACCTTGTTTTCCTGGATTTTATTCTTCAAGTCCTCCAAACTGGCGATAGACACAAAAGATACCATGACATTTCCTTCATTCTGCGAGATCCATTGTTCGCTTTCGTTGACAACATTATGAAGTAATTGCGTGAACGCCTCGAACAAACTAGAAATATTTGTAATATCATGATTTTTTGTATGTATTCATGATAGTGGGTTCATGAAGTTCATGACTAAATCCATGTTTGATCAATACATGTAAGCCAGATACAGCTTTCGTCCTTTAAAAATCTTATGTTCTGTCATATGTGTTGAACATTACTACAGACTGATACAAACGCAGTTTTTAATCCAGCCCCCCTCGGCAATCTGGCGTTCGTGTTGACAACAATGTCCCTTGTTTAAGCTCGCTATTAACTTCACTACTTACCTCTTATGATTCCTGAGGACAACAGCTGGGAGCCGCCCAACTCTCTTGGACAGATCACGACACTTGGTTTCAATATCAGCACTCACGTCTACTGGAAGGACTCCAGACTGCGCGATTTCTTGAGGGCGCTTCAAAGACTGCATTGTCTGAGTGTACATATTGTTCACATTGGTTACGTTTTCCTAAAAATTCAAAAAGATTGTTCATAACTATTTTTTTTGAAGTATATATTTACTTCACATTTACAGTGGACCTCTAGGAAGAAGAGTTTAGAACTGATAGAGCTATCCAGTATAAATAAAGTTAGTTTAGTTTAGGTTCCCTCTTGTAGTAACACTGGATCAATAGGAGATGATCCTTACTGGACCTCTGGGAAGAACAGTTTAGAACTGATAGAGCTATCCAGTATAAATAAAGTTAGTTTAGTTTAGGTCTCCACTTGTAGTAACATTTGACCAATAAGAGATGATCCTCACTGGACCTCTAGGGAGAATAGTTTAGAACTGATAGAGCTATTATACAAATTCACGCGGCAATGCAGTTAATCTATAAATACCATTGATTGTTGAATCTGGCCAGTTGCTTGCTCCAGCTCATCGGAGAGAGTGCTTGGTTTGTCCCAGGCTTCTGCATCAGAAATGGACTTCTCAGCCACGCCAAGAGTTTCATCCAGACCCTCTTTCACTTTCGTTTGTAATCTTGAAACAAAAAATAACAATGGTTCTGAGTCATGGCTACAGACGTCTTGACATTGGGCCTTCGGTCAAAACATCGAAATGTCTTTTTCAGGTAGTTCAGACACAAACCACGACAGTTTATTGTAGAATACTACCTACACTGGACCACCACGTTTGAGATATATTTTTCAGCTAGTTCGGATACAAACGAATGAAACTCGTCAATAACAATAAAAAATTTCTTACGTCTTGCGTTTGTCATCAATATTTGTCTTCAGCAATGTATGTCTATCGGTCAGTGAGTTCACTTCAGCTCTTGAAGCATCAAGCTCCGCCTCAGTCCACATCACTTCAATATTTATCTGGACCAGAAGTTTGACAACACGTTCATCAATTTTCTCACCGCTCGGCAGCTCTTCTGCGATACTCTAATAACACAATAGAATTATTTTTACAATTTTAGTTTAGTTAATATTGTCACTTCGATTATACGGGACAGCTTTATCAGTTTTTGAAGCCTAGCAAGGATCTTATTGATCCAGTGTTACTACAGGAGGAAAACTAAACTAAACTAACTTTATTCATACTGAATAGCTCTATCAGTTCTAAACTGTTCTTCCTATAGAGGTCCAGTAAGGATCATCTCCTATTGATCAAGTGTTACTACAGGAGGAAACCTAAACTAAACTAACTTTATACTGGATAGCTCTATCAGTTCTAAACTGTTCTTCCTATAGGTCCAGTAAAGATCATCTCTTATTGATTCAGTGTTACTACAGGAGGAAACGTAAACTAAACTAACTTTATTTATACTGGGTATAGCGCTATCAAACCACTTTAAACTTACCTCCAATTTAATACACTCAGTGAAGGACTTTTCAACACCAACGACTTCAGAATCCACACTTTTCTCCCTTTTCTCCATAGTCTTCAGCCATTTGTTAAACTTGGTTTTACTGGTGTTGAACTTGCCGATCAGATTACGACGAAGCCTGTAAGGGACCATCGAATTACTTTTTAACTACTTGAATTTAACTTACTGAAAATTCAAACAAAAGCCCAACAATTTAATCAAGTATTAAAACCTGAGGAAAGTTTTTTAATAGCACAATCCGCCCGCAAGAAAAATGCTGTGCTTTGCTTCACTCTTTTGTTCACACATCCCACAGGTTTCCATGAATGACTTATTATTCTCACTTATTTTTAGCTGCATGTAGACCAAGCGAAATCCTTATAAAGCACCCGTCAGTAATACTTACTTTTGCTCAATGTCAAGACCAAGTTTTGCAACCGTCTTGCGCTGAATTGCCAAATTTTTGTTACTTTCAATGACAAAGGTGATAAGTTCTGGATCATTAATTAGTTTCTTTTCATTCAATTCGTTGAACTGCGCTTGTGTTTCCTGAAATTTCTTGTCGTTAGTGTTGAACGTTTCTTCAGTTTCCTGGAGTGCAAAAATAAAGAATACAGAATGATTTTAGGGAGCAACCAGAGCAAAGAATCAAAGACGAAAAGAATTAACAGATAAGCAATGACAAAAAAAAAATAGAGACACAATGGCAGAAACAACAACAACAACAGCAACAGCAACAGCAAAAACAGGAACAGCAGCAACAACAACAACATTAACAGCAACAGCAGCAACATTCCACTACATTAATCTCGTCATGAAATTAAACTGAGGACAAACCTTAATTAATTCCAACTGCACAATGATAGTATCAACATCTTTGCCAACTGGAAACAATCTCTTGTTCTCGGTCTGTTGTTGAGCTAGGAGACGTTGATCACATCGCACTCGTTCATGGAAATATTCATAGATAACATCTTCAAGCCTAAGAAGAAAATACGATTCAATTTTATTTTACATTTTTATACTGAGCACGCAAACGATTCTTTGCCCAATTTTGTTTATTATTGCACTGTAATGGAGAGGTTATTTTTCTGCTATTGCGAATCAGAGATCTGGTATTTATAGACTTTAAACCTAAAGTTTTTTCTAAAGAGATCTATTTTGTGCTGAGAAATGGGATGTAGACCTACCCTTCAGGCCTGAAATTCCCCCGTTCTCTCCATAATCATACCTTAGTCTCTGAAGCTGTATTATAGTTTGTAAACTCTCAATTTTCTCATGAAGAGAAAGGACTGTGGTTGATACTTCAGTTTTGATCTCTTCGGCAACAGGTTCCGAACTTTCCTCAGAAGGAGAACAAAATTTAACACCAGCAAGACGAATCACTTCAAGTTTGGGTAAAACTTCTTCATCAATTTCTTCTTGACATTCCTGAAATTAAACCGTAAAAGATATAAGTTCGCAGGTCGCGGCTTCAAAGCCTCTCGAAAAACTATATTCTTCTTGTAAACTGGGAAACTTTTTTACACTTTGGACTCCGTTTTAGTTTATCGAGTTCCTCACTCATTGGTGAGCGGATTTCCCAAAAGGTTATTGGCCAATTGATAGGGGATCCTTGGTATACCTACGATTTAACGTCCTTATCCGAGAAGACGCGAAAGTCTAACCGTTTACTGTGTATATGTTTCTCCTCAATTATTTTAAGACCTTGAGTAGAGGTCCAACCATATAAGTCAGTCGGAGAGGACAACAATTTTTCACTTGTTGCGCAAAGAGATATATTCCATTGATCTAAATCCACGTGGCTACAAACTAGTCCATCACGTTTAGTTTAAGCACCAGAACTTATTCTCTTACCTGAATGTTACTGAAGACAGCTTGGATCTCATCATAATCTTTTTTGATATCTTTCTCTGGCTTGAATTTTGTTTCTACCACCCCCACAGAATTTTCAAGCTCCGAAACCTTTTCCTTCCATTGGTCAAATGTTTCCAAGCCAGCTACACCATCGACTGCTTTGTTGATTTTCATATCGTGGAGGATGTAGGTGATGGCTTGAAGTGAATTAACACCCTGGAAAAATGAAATAATTAAGCTTGATAAACTAACTTTATTTATACTGGACAGCTCTATCAGTTCTAAACTGTTCTTCCTAGAGGTCCAGTAAGGATCATCTCCTATTGATCCAGTGTTACTACAGGAGGAAACCTTAACTAAACTAACTTTATTTATACTGGATAGCTCTATCAGTTCTAAATTGATCTTCCTAGAGGTCCAGTAAGGTTCATAGCTTATTGATCCAGTGTTACTACAAGAGGAATGTCTCTTTGTCACATACCGGTATTTTCATCCAAGCAACTTTATCAACAGCAGTATTGAAATTCTTCCAGTTAGTATTCAACTGTTCAACCTTTACATCCAGCTCAGATGTCTGATCTGGTTCACCAGGTAGCTCTGCATGAAGTTCATTGATACGATCAACCGATGCTTCGTACTCACCAATATCCACACGTCGAATCTAAAATGGAATATACAATTACTTGAAATAAATATGACCTCGAATTTTCTCTACTACTTTCTGCTGATGTTTTAAATAGTACTGAGAATATAGTGCGATTTCAAGTGCAATTTGGAAAAAACATGCACGAGTAAGATTTTCGAGGACCAAAATTTCACGGGTCAGAAAAGTGTGTGTGTTTTCCACATTGGAAGAGAAACCGTACTATTACTTGCTAATGATATACATTAAAAAAAATTACACACTTCGATAACATCAGCACCGTTTATGCTTATTTTCATTGCTTGTTAGCAAACCGTTTCCAGTCTATGTGCTCCTTGTAGGCTATTTAAGTTGTTACATTGTAAATGTTAATACGTTAACCAGAAATACGCTTCTCTTTAACTCAGAGAGCATTGCACTTTCTCGTTATTTTACAACGTTACTGGACAAGAGAAACACTATACCGAGTAAAAACTGATGCGATCTTCATAAAACTTACAGCAATTTTATGGATCATTTCATTTGCAGCGTTTATTTTTTCTTCGTGTTCTTTCTTTGCTTTTTCGACATCGTCTCCATCAACAGCATCGCCTTGACCATCCGTTGCATCAGTTTCACCGACATCTGATGCTTTGTCTTTTCCAGAAGCGTCACTTGGTACAAGTTGACCGGCAATGACATTGAACTCATCAAGGAATACAGTGGTACTAGCTGTCCAGTCATTTACGGAGTCCACATGTTCCTGGAGTTTCTTGGCTTTGTGCTGATTCGCCTCAAGCTGAACAATAAATATTTTAAAATAGTTCATATATGTTGAAGCTTTTTTTTAAAAGGAAATTTCGCACAAATACTATGCACAGTTTTCGACATAAACCTTTATAGGCAGGAATCGAAAAGTGTTTATTTGTTAATTTGATTTTTGCATAACATTTCACTTTAGTATCCAGATGATCTTGATACGCGGAAAAGTACTGGCACTAGTTGTCAAATAGAAATCCATTTTATGATTAAAACAACTGAATATCTCCTATAATATACTTTATTTCGATTCCATATTTTTGTCAGAGCTGTAGTTCTCATAACCAAACATAATTACAAAATTTCAACTAGTTTCATAAAGAATAACGAAAGATATAAATGACTGAAAACATCAAAATTGATTTCTATTCGGACAACCCTTTCTGAGCGCTGATTGGCTAAAATACGAACACGAGATCACCTGGATGTTTTGAATGCCACAAATATGTAAATAGAGCTTCAAAAACTCATTAAGAGGAGATTTTTTTGTATGTTACGTAACACGCGCTCAAAACTAATGCGTATAATATATCACTTGAGGTTATGACTAAATTCAAAATTTTTATTTTTCCATACGTTTCTCAATCGGCAAACAAACTTAAAAAGTATGTTTAGTGTTTTATCTGTAAAATAATGCTAAAATATAAGTGGAGATTTTAGATGATACGCCAAAGAGAAAATGATGTCTGAAGTTCAGTAAGTTTTGCTTATATGGCTGTAAATATGGCATCAGTTTTAAAGCATCATTGATAATTGTATTTTAATTGACAATTTTTAACTAAAAATTTTATGTTTCTGAACCGGCAGATGCATTTAGAAAGGTAGCTAACTCTATAAACTAGAGAATAAAGCTAAAACAAAGTCATTTTGAGAGGAACGCCGAAAAGATTTTAGGTTTTGAACACTTTTCATTGCAAATAAGTGACACTGAAAAAAATTGCCTCTTAATAATTAATAAGGAAAAGACAAAGGAATGAATACCGATGTTAATTTACATAAATTTTTGCTTTGATTTTCTCGGCTTAAACAACATTGATTTTAAAATTACTTCGCCAATGAACTCATAAGATGAACTGTTTTTTAAGCCATTTCAAACACTCGCAGTCCGTCTTTATCAGATATAGAACACTCGGCTGTCGCCTGTGTTTTATATCTGATAAAGCACTCCTGCCCGTATTTTAAATAGTACATAGCTCAGCTGTACAAAAAAAGTGACCAAACTGCAGCAATACAAGATGAAACAGACTCCGAATATGAAAATCTTGTAAACTCTAGATTCGAGCTATTTAAAATCCAAGTTACTTTGTTATCTTGTTTAAATAGCTCGAATCTCGAGGTTTTAAAGAGTCGGTCAACGCTTTGCGTTGTGGGTTTTCACCGGGTCCTCCGGTTTCCTCCCACAGGGAAAATTGACAGGGTGGGTTAGGATCATAGATATCTTATATACACTAGATAGTGCATCTAATTATTCTGCAATTCAAAAATTGAAGCCGTGATTGCAGTCTCAGGTCGTTCCCATGAAATGAGAAGATTCGTATGTTTTCTATTTCTTAAACAGGGAACTTAAACATTAAGTTAAACCCATTCCAAATACTTTTTAAACTATTCAAATGATGAAAGTTATTGTTGTTTTTAAGCGTTTATTAGCGAGTGGGAACGACCAACATGGCCGACATCTATTCAAATGGGGGTAACCGCTGGAATATTCTTGGCTTCAATTTTACTAAAAGAGATGCGCCATCTAGTGTATATAAGTTATCAATGGTTAGGATAAACACAGTTAAGAAAGTAATATCACAATTGTTGTAAAGATAAATAGTCCAGGCTATAAGTCAGTGATTAGGTAAGCATAATACTGGACGTATTAAAAGTGCTCATGTCCATATGTTAACTTGCGCTGTAGAAATGTAATTTTAATTTTGTAATTTTAGGCATGACATACCCCATTAATTCCAACCGCGATGTCTTGTGATAATTTATCATTGTGTTCAATAAGATCTTTCGTCTGTTGTTCAATATTCTTAACCGCGGGGGATTCTTCTCCAATGCTCTTGACGAGTACAGGAGACTGGCGCTCTAGTTTCCAAATTTCCAACGAGTTTTCCCGCGTTTCTGCTTGCATGTTCTAAAAAGAAGATTCCACACGGGTTAATTAGGATGCAATATGTTTAATTATTATTTATTTAAAAAATTCCTGGTTTCTGATTGGCTAACAGCCAACTGTGAAATTGTCATATCAACTCAATGGTTAGCTAACCAAATACGGATTTTTCACATTCGCATTAAGAAAATGACGTCAAAGAGTCAATTGCAATATGAAAAAAAATTGGACGCGTTTGCGCCATATTACTATGACGACGAGAATCATATTGACTCGCCGACGCCATTGATATGACGCGACAACGGCTGCCGAAGGACTAAGGAATTGTTCTTTTCTTAATACAAATAAAATACAAATGTTTGTTTTGAATTTTTTAATTAAATATTAAAACAATTATTGAATTCGGTTTTCGTACAATATGAAGAATTATCAAGCCCTCAGTTTGCCGTTATCAACTTCAGCCTTCGGCTTCGGTTGATAACGGCAAACTTCGGGCTTGATGGGGGCAACTGCCCCCGTTGCATAAACATGGCGGGGGCAGCAGGTTGCCCTTTTTACCAGAACTACCTCGAATTTGTGCGTTCTTTACAGGAATTGGAATTTATAACTATTTTTAAGCAATGCTTAAGCAATCTTTGCTTAATTTTTAACCAGTTAATGGTACATCAGGCAATATATCCGTTTACTGATTTTATTTTGCGCCCTTAGCACGATGCAACGAATAAAATTGTTCAAAATTAATGTCGAAGTTTGCTCACCCATAATAGCCACAAGTAATCGAGTATCCTACAGTCGAGTTTTAACAAATATTGCCGCCCAGAAAGGCTGAGGAGCAAGCGCCCTTTTGAAATGGCTGCCCCCGCCCCTTGACATTGCTTCCGCAGCCCCTGCATGGGCGATGCATTTAAATTGTTTTGAGGGGACAGATGGCCCAAGCTAACAGCACGTTTCATCTTACTGCCGAGTTAAACACATTATAAGACGAGGCTAAAAACCAGGATAAACCTATACTTATTTACAAAAATAAACTTCAGATCTAAACTGTTTCCCTAGAGGTCCTGGATCATCTCTTATTGATTCAGGATTACTACAGGAGGAAACCTAAATTAAACTAACTTTATTTATATTCCATGGATAGCTCTATCAGTTCTAAATCAGTATGAAGAACGCATTCTGTGTTGTACATAATAGGCACTTGACTGGGGTTCGTGTTTTTACATCTTATATAACACTGTCTTTCACGCGGTATTTTTTACATACGAACTTCCATGAGGTTGCATGAATTAACAAAATATGAAATATTTTCAAACACATCAAGACACAGAAGCGTGCTATGTCGCCCCCATATTACCATGCATTTTATGACAGGAAATACATAGTTTACTTGTAGATGTTATTTCTGCACTTGAGTACTTGAAATTCAGGCCTCATACTTAAACACAACTGTTTCAGTTTTATGTTTAATTCTTGAGAAGAAGTCGCTCGAGGATGGATTCTTATTATTTTATCAACCTCATATTCATATTTGCTCTGAACGTATTCTTCTTTTTCTCAGGAATATGTTTAAATTCCTTGGTCATACTCAGTTTCTGGAAATCTGTACAACTTCGAAAGAAATTATGTTATTTCATGATAATGCTTTTGTCCTGTTGCGATTTGCTCGCGGTTTTAACCAATGGTCCATTGATGGCGCTTATCTCGATGTCATGGTTGACGGGAAAGTTGGATGGAAATGCTAGATGGCCACATATTTCTTTAAGATGGACAAATATTTTCCTTGTTTTTTCATTATTCGCTCTTTTGGTGATGAATTTCGATCGATATTTGGCGACATCTTATCCTATCTTTCATCGAACATCGGTAACGAAGCGAAGACTTTTAACTCTTCTTGCAATACTGATCATCTTCCAAGTAATTCTGGAAGTGATGTCTGTAAACGACTCTGTTGTTCCCCACCAAGTACATGCTATAATTATTTGTATTCTTGTCATTCCTGCAATGTTATTTATCAACTACAAATTGTTTCTAGTCGTCAGGAAAAGTTGTAAAAACAAAAGAATACCGCTCGAGATGAAAAAGACGTTTTCTTTGAAAAATATATCGAGTTGTTTGCTGGCAGTCGCTTGTCTTGCGGTGGTATCCATTCCAGGGTTCGTCTACGTTGGACTGAGAATAAACTCGCCAGACACAAAAAATACTTTGGATAATGCAAACCTTGCAGCGAATTGGTCCCAAACCATAGCCTTTATGAATTGCACATTTAACTGTTTAATCTTTTACTGGAAAAACAAGGTGTTACGTACCGAAGGATGGAAAGTTCTCAAAGGCCTGAAAATATGTCGACGGGTTGAATCCTAACTGCACTAATAACCCTTGTTCAAAAAACAACTTAAGGTTCGAAGAAAACTCACTAACAATATCTTAGTCACAGTAAATGTGAACACAACGAACTATACACTTATATTGTTCTATATATTAATACGCATATCATCATCACTATAAGAAAGACAGTAGCTGTAACTAGGGTATATAAGACACTGTTATGCTTGTATTTCATCCATTCCTGAAGATAACTAAAATATAGTCGAATAAAACGTAGAAAAATAAATTATTTCATTATATACAGAATTTGCCATGTTATTGTGCGTTAATTAAGTATTGGGTATGTATAGATTTAATTTTCCCATCCTAATAAAGATTATGCCTTTAACTATCGAATGAGATATTTTTTCTATCATTGCGTTAAAAACTTAAACCAACATGACCAATTTAAAATGGTCGATTTTTCTGCCGTTACATGATAATTGGAAGCGCGTATATGTCGGAGTGTTGAAAAAATGGTCAAAATTCAAAAGAATAACAAGGAATAGCAGTCAAAAGAATACTCAAATAATCAAAATAAAAATAATCTAGTCTTCGCAATTAATTTATAGATGACTTAACTCGCGGATGGATAAAACATTTGTGGATAAAACATTTTACGAAACCTGAAGTTTGCAGAGAACTTGCAATGTCTATATATAACGTTTCTCTCATATACAGCGACCTCCACTTGGGCAAATGTTTGAAAATTCTGAGAATATTTTGCGGCAACAGAGATAGAAAAATTTGTTATCGACCGCTAATTTCAAGTCGTTCCTATTTGGCCACTTTTATTCAAATGAGATATTATATTTGAAAATATATTTGAGTGTTTCAGAGAGAATCTAAATCCAGAAAACTGTTCACTTTCGACAAAAATATACACGTGTATGAAATGATTTTAAAACGTTCATTTCTCCTCACAACGGCTTCTCGTTCGTGGCATATCATGTAAGTTGGTGACACGTGACGAAGGTTAAATTTACGAAAATAAGTCAACAGTCGAACATGTATATATCGACTATCTGCTCGCCATCACGGAGCATTGGTCGAAACATTTATTTAGTAAGTAGTATATTGTATAATTACATTCTTATTGTGAGTTGGTTTAGAACAACACAGAGACATATAGTTTTTAATGTTTATTTATCTAACTTTGCCAATAAACATTAAAACACAGAAAATAAATATATGGACAATGGCAGGGAACACGCTACAGCTTTCGCCAATTACAGCGGCCCTTTAAATTAAATCCATTTTTAATGTAAAAATAGAAAACGAGACGCGAACTTGTATTTCTTTCTATTTCGTAATTAATGACTGGACGAAACGCGCTTTTTCGCTTGGGCCACTTGTACTCTCAAAACAAACTTTCATTCACATGTCTCACCATCGCACCTGTTCTCAAGTTGTTTTCGAAAAGGCAAAACTGCAATTGTAAACTAATAATATATGTTGAACGAGAACAATAGATAATCATGCACTTTACACAACTTTAAAATATCACATTTTTATATACTACGGCTAGCAAAAAAACAAATTACTAAAATTAAAAATAGAATATAAAAATTAATAAACTTTTAGCATTACACGTTTGAAATTCACACAATAATAATAGGAAAATGTCGAGTGTAAATTTTATACATTTATTAAGAGTCAACGAGGAGCAGTTGTGAAAAATACAACTATATATAAACCCTCTGACAGGAATCAAACCTGGGATCCTGTGATTCCAGTGCAGCTCTAACCAACTGAACTACAGAGTCCACCTGGATAGTTCATCATAAATGTATAAAATTTACACTGAAAATTTCATCTACCAAATCCTTCAACATTATTCTTCAATCAACTGAGATGCCCAAAAATCATCATAATAATATGACCCCCGTGCACCACACTTTACTTCAGGATCAATTTTGTAATTCTTTCAACACTGAGGAGAAACTGGGGGGGGGGGGTGTAACCTCTTAATATTTTCATCTATGATAAAATCTGGAAAACGTGGAAAACGTGTCTAAAATACATGAAATAGCGTTTCGGAGACCCTAATAATTGAATAATTCTCCTGGAGACCATGTTCCCTCCCTCCCACACGTTTGGGGGTGGCCACGCCCCTGTCCCCCACAATTACAGAAGCTCCCACATCACTAATAGAGATATAAATAGTTTGTTCTGTGGACGTGACATTGATCAGCATAATACTTCATGTAGAAGGTCTTTGGTGTTTGAAAAGTCAAAATGACAATGGACATATTATAATGCTTGGATTTTAAAACGTACAACGTCAAATGGGTTTAAATTTACTTTGCCGTAGTATATAAAAAGGCCTTGTATTAAATTTATGTAAAATACATATCATTCTGTCAACATGTATAATTAAAACCCGCCTTAATAGTTATTACTGTTTGCGGTTTGGGAAAACAACTCGAGACATTTGTTTCGAGGGGACAGATGGCCCAAGCTAATAGCACGTTATAAAATGAGGCTGACAACCAGGATAAACCTATACTTATTAAGGAAATGAACTTCAGATCGAAACTGTTCTCCCTAGAGGTCCAGCAAGGGTCATGCCTTATATTGATCCAGTGTTATAACCTACAGGAGGAAACCTAAACAAAATATTAACTTTATTTATATTGGTTCTATCAGTTCTAAATCAGTGTGACGC